GCTTTACTTTCCTTTCTAGGGGCCATAATTGAGAATATTCACCAAGACTTGAAACTAGGGCTTGAGATCATGTAAAGGTCACAGATCAAGAGAGCTGAAGAGATGTTTTTCCTTCTTCTAGACTTCTAGGGCTGGACTTACACTATATTGGCAATGGTATTCACTTGCCCATCTAAATAATTGAATTTAGGTGTTCCAACCACTTTCATGGCCACAGATTTATAAAATCAAGCACCTAGTAATGCAGACTGCTTCTACAAACATTTGTAAAAGAATGGGTTGTTTTCTGGAGCTCAGTGAATTCCAGCTCGGTACTGTCAAAGGATGCCACCTGTGCAAAGTCCAGTCCAGTGGAAGCAATTAGAAATAACAGCACCTCAGCCACGAAGTGGTCACACATATAAAATCACATGTAAAATCACAGAGCGGGCTCAGCATATGCTGAGGTCCATAATGGGTCACCAACTTTCTGCAAAGTCAATAACTTCAGACCTCCAAACCTTATCTGTCAGATTAAGAACAATGCACAGAGACCTGCATGGAATAGGTTTCAGTGGCCAAGCAGCCCCATTGAAACTTTACATCACCAAGCGTGATCCAAAGCGTCAGGTGCTGTGATGTAAAGCATGCTGGACTCTTGAGCAGTGAAGACGTGTTCTCTGGAGTGACAAACCACACTTCTCCTTCTGGCAGTCTGATGGATGAGTCTAAGTTTGGCGGTTGCTAGGAGAACAGTACTTATCTGACTGCATTATGTCAAGTGTAAAGTATGGTGGAGGGGGGATTTTGGTGTGTGGTTGTTTTTCAGTTGAGTTCAGCCTCTTAGTTCAATTGAAACTTTTTGGGAAAGGTCTGGGGATGGCCCCTTCCTGTTCGAACATGACTACACACCTGTGCACAAGGAAAGGTCCATAAAGACACGGATGAGCAAGTTTGGTGTAGAAGAACTTGACTGACCTGCACAGAGTCCTGACCTCAACCTGACAGAACATCTTTGGGATTAATTAGAGTAGAGACTGTGAGCCAGGCCTTCTCATCCAACATCAGTGGGTGACCTCACAAATGTGCTTCTAGAAAAATGGTCAGAAATTCCCATGAACACACGCCAAAGTTTTGTGGAAAGCAGCCCCAGAAGAGTCGAAGCTGTTATAACTGCAATGGGTGAGGAGTCAAGTGATTACCAAACAAGTCTTTTGAGATTTTTCTTCAGGCTACCACATGTCAAAAAACAACTTTCAGGCAATCAGTCAAACAGCTGTTGAGACAGATCACTAAAACATAACATATTATATACTATATATATATATATATATATATAATGTTCTTCCTCTACAGCCCCCCCAATCTTTGCACATGTCGAGGAGCGTGTCAGGCTACATTTCACTGTGTGTTATACTTGTATAACTATGCATGTGACAAATAAAGAACCTTGAACCTTGAAATCAACCTCATGTGGAAATAGTCATTAGATTAGTCTGGTGGGGAACAAGAATTCACCTGACTGTTGTTGAGATATTTGGGTCCACTAGCGGAATAACAACGAAAAAGAAAAAGAAAAAAAATGCCACCCCCATTCAGTGTGCACAAAAAAGCAGTTTGCATATATGTGTTTTGTTTTTTTAATATTTGCCAAAAACCATATCCTCATTTCACCCAGAGGTCTCTAACCTTCAGGATTAAGCCTCAGTTTTAGTTCAGCAGTGCACACTCTCATCCATCTGTGCTGCTGCTGTCCTCATTTCAACACAGCAGCTTTTGAACTGGCACGAAAACAGAGTACTAGATACTGTCAGGAGGTGCAGAAATACAGTCTGCAGCTCTTTGATGACCTGCCAAGAGAGCATTTTTCACATTGATATTAAGATGGCAAGAGAATGGAGAGGGACACCATCACTCAGCATGGTATAACCAAAATGATACTTGTACACAAAAGTTGTGCTTCTTTTTTATACAACGGTTCATCCTTCAGTACATCTAATGCCTCACCGTTTTTGACTCTTCTGGGTGGCTATTGTCTAAATGTGAACAGTGTAATGAGTATCTAAGGTGACTAACCAGTGACTGGGGTGATTCATAAAGCAGCCTTCTTTTCACATGCAGAGAAACTGTGTTCTCAGTGCTCCCTTTGGTCCCCGGAGGTGATGAGTAGCTCCAGTGTCGACACAATGGCTGCACTGCAGGCCATTCAACTCCTGTGCAGATTACAGGGTTTTTAAAAGCTCCCAGTATGATCCTGCACAATTATTGAGCCACTTGTCCTGATGACAAGGCCTTATTGGAAGAAGATACTGACTTACTGATTATAGCAGTCATCCATAAGTTACGTTTGTAAATATAAGTCGCAAAACTCTTTTTTGAGGGTTTTGCATAAAATGAATTTTAAAAAACAAATAAAGAAATTAATCAAACAAAAAAAGTCATGGTTTTAGAGTGAAACTGAGGGCTGCTGATGATTGATGGCAGATATAGTAATGTGCATTAGAGAACATTACTGTTCTCTTACAGTGGAGTCATGGATGAAGGAGCATAAGGGATGGACAAACTCAGGCTTGTTGAAAGACATGGATTACCATTATCAAGTCACCGCTGTTGCTCTATAATAGTGTCAGAATACAGTTTCAACTTGAATACCAAAGTGACCCCACCTAAACAAACAGAGAGCAGCAATGTTGGCATGAACACTCAATCTTTTCAACAGACAGATAAATTACAGTTTGGAGGTAGAGAGAAAAGATGAGAACTTAGCTGTTAGGCAGCAATTTCGTGCAAAGCTCAAATTCAGAGACTTAGCAGGAGCTCTAAGTGCACATCTGAGCAACGATTTTATTATAAAATCATATCTTTAAAAAAATTGTTGTGTGGAGCCACAGACATTTCAGTTACCTTACAGCAGACGTGGATAGCTTTCAATCAAAATAAGTTACTGTTTTACACAGCACTGTCTTGTGCTTAGGTCACAGTCTGTGCTCCAAAATAGTGCAACTTTAGGAGATTCACCTCTGCTAAAAGTTACTTTCAGTATTTAGGACAGCTGATTAGATTAGCTAGAAATGTTGGCCCATTAAAGTACTCTGTAATTGAAGTAAATAGATGAATATCTTGAGTGTTTCAGTTTGATATAAAATACTGATAACATCCAACTTTAGCTGCAGTTTCCAAAAATACTGACTCGATGAATTGCTAACAGGTTGAAGCTTTATAATTTAAAAGTAATAACTTCCCCACAACTGCCAGATGTTGTACATCTTATTTCTTGATACAAATGGCATCCATATGTTTAAGTGTGTGTGTGTGTGTGTGTGTGTGTGTGTGTGTGTGTGTGTGTGTGTGTGTGTGTGTGTGTGTGTGTGTGTGTGTGTGTGTGTGTGTGTGTGTGTGTGTGTGTGCGCGTGTGCGCAGATGAATGTATGATTACATTCTGTTGATGAGAGTCATTTTTACTCTGTTTCCATCTGGGGACCAAAATAATGTCCCCACAAGGTAAACTATTTATTTCATGGTCACATCTTGTTCTTATGGTGATGCTAATGTGATCTTTCTTTCCCCCAATTTGGTAATGACTGCTCGGGTTAATTACAGAGGATGTCTAAGTTATTACTGTCCTTAAAAAACCTCACACTGGTAGTAGGTTTGTGTGGTCCCAAATAAATTATTACATAGAATGGGAAGATTCAATGATCAAGACTTCAGTGACTAAAAGAAAACACAAAGACGAATTTATAAAGGTTTCTATTGTTTGACGAGTACACTCAATTATTTAAGCAACCAAATGATATAAGAATGATTCAAGTTTCCGTAGTAACATTAAACAGACCTCTGTGTTTCTGTCACTTTCAGACCCTGCCTGTGTTTCCCTGGGGGTTCTGTAATAAGTAACATTATCTTTGTTTGCGTTCCATGTGCAAGCAGATGATTCAGAGAGCGACTTTGTAAACTTTAAAGAACAGTGTTAGCACACCATCTAGTGGGGAAATGTGCAGCATACACAGTGTGACAGAATCTCTTTGTAATCATTGGGGATTTCTAAATCAGTGTAATCATCAACATTATTAGTTTACCTTAAACTGTAATATTAAGGCTGAACTCCACAGTCCCACAGTTACAAGCAGAGTCCTTCCCTCTCTGTTACCGGGTTTTTTGCCCACTAAAGAAATTAGTCCTCTGTGTACATGAAAAAAACACAAATATGTTCTCAAATATGTTCTTTTAATACAACTTAATATTTACTGGCTTCTGCAAATATAAAGCAAATATCCATCCATCCATGTTCTGCCACTTATCATCTCTGCTCATGCTGTTGCAGAGGCAATAGTATGAGCAGAGATGCCCAGCAAGCTACCTCCAGCTCTTCTTGGGGGAGAGAGAGGTTTTGCCAGGTAAGCTGAGAGACACGAGGTCCCCTGTGTCTCCCATCTGGATATACTGTACCTGAAACAGTAGTCCTGATGCCCAAACTCTGTCAGCTGGCTCCTTTCACTGTGGATGAGCAGCAGTTCTACTCTGGGCCATGCTATGTGATAACTAGCCAAATGTGATGAGAACCAGGACCCCAAAACCCTTTCCCAGATGAGGATGCCAGGAATCCCACCCTCCACTCAGGCCCGGGGAAGATGATGGTTATGTCGACCATGGGACTCGGCTGGATTCTGCCCCAATGAATTACTCCTATTGGGGTCTAGTCCTTTGTGGGTCAAGGTGGAGACCTTGGTGGTGTGGTTGCTGAAAAGAGCCTCAGATATACTCACTCTACAGCATTAAAAACTTGAATATGCTATTGATCCCCAGAAACAGTATGTATTATTTGAATGAGTAGTAAAAATATTGCAAATATCATATAATTTAAAAGTTATGTAGAGTACGTTTGCAAATTGATAGTGAATTAGTTCACTCTGAGTTGAAACCTTTTTTGGAATTAACCACTGAACTAAGCAGTGGCTTGGAGCTTCCTCTTTCACAGTCAGTACAGCAAACTTCGACGGAGCATCAATCAAAACCGAACCGACGTGGGAACCACCCATCCCGTGACGTCACTGGGCTCTGACAAGCTGGTGGTGCCGGAAGAAAAGATGGCGGATCATGAGGAGCAGCTATCCGACGAGGAAAAGGTAAGATGCCGATTTAATTCTAGGTTAAACCTCACAGCGTGAAACGGTAACATCCAAAATCTGAGTTGCATATGGTCCTGGCTCTCGGTGCATCCTGGCGTCGACCGGCATTATGAAATTTGGGGAAAACCCAGGCCTCAGCACAACCTCTGCTGCTTCTGCTCTTATTTTTAGCTCAACTTCCGCTCATTTGCGAATTTCAAACGGAGGCTCCTTGTACGGTCCTGACTCAAAATAGGAACCGTGAACGTCTTATACACTCACCTATGCTCACCACCCGTTCTCTTTTCACCCGGTGGACATGCCATTTCACTCACGGGTCTCTGCTTACTTGTGTTATGGAAGTTTTCATGCACCATGGATCCGCTAGCTAGGTTAGTTAGGGTAGCATAGCCGCAGCCTGCTAACAGACAGCCAGACTTACTAACACGCCCTTTCGCCTGTTGGGTGCCCCTTTTCTGTCTTTAGAAGTTAAAATATTGGAAGCGGTAGAGTGCCGGGTCATTTTATGAAGAGCAAACTGTAAAATCAGCAACCGTATGCTATAGTCTAGCTAGTTTGATAACTCTCGCCCCTCTAAGAAGTAGCAGAGAAAGGTGAGGGAACTACGAGATCCCCTGAAGGATATGCTAGAAATTAAAAACTGCTTTTATATTCTGTCCTGTCGTTTGAAAGTCTGTTTCTACCGCTGTGAAAGCCTCATAGCAACCAGTGTTGTTTCTAAAACTGTAGCAGAAAACTGACTCATAATTTAAGCAGGATTTACACCAGTGACGCCCATGCAAGAGTGCTGCAGGTTTTTCTCATTTCCTTATAAGAGGACATGCATAGCTGACAGGACGTGTGCCTCAGCTAAGGGGTTTGCACGAATCCTTGTTGGACTGCTAAATGCATTTTTTCGTCGCTATATTCATTATAGGCTTTGTTAACAAAGTCAGCAGTTAGCGACGAGCAAATTAATATGGCAACTTTTATGCAGGGTATTTATTAATTAATTGTCAGCCTTATAATTTATTTATTATATTGTAAGGTATTAAACTATAAAAGTTTGCAAATGTTTATTGTAAACATTTAAAATGTATTTAACATTGTTTCTAGTGTTTATTTACTTGCCGGACTTCACGATTTAAATGCATAAATGCCTCAGCAATGAATAGATAGTACGAAGAAGCCATAGTTGGAGGTTAACATACAGAACGGTGTATATAAATGTGTAACTGGTAACCTGTGTTAAGGCTCTCCTCATAAACATGTAGTTCTTCCCATTAACCTTGTTAATATCGCAGTTAGCCATTAAAAATAAATCTTTAATAACTCTTCTGTTTCCATCCTGTGAGTTACGTAACACACTGTTCAGAGTAAGAACAGAAGAAGGGTTTGTTTCATTTTGCCCTGTTCCACATCAAACTATAAAAGTTTCCAGAGTTCTTTTTAGCAATTTAGCAGCTGCATTTGTATAAATGTGTTACACTTTACAACTCACAAGCATCTGCCATTAACCAAGCTTCGAATTTATAAGTGACTGTATGGTTTTGTTTTCTTTTTCTTTTTCTTTGGCCATGTACTACATTACATTTCAGGACCACCCGAAATGTTTTTTTTTTTTTCAGGTGTGTTCACACAACATGAAGCTGTGGTAAACTCATTGACAGCATTGGATTTTGGTTTTGCGAAGAGGATGGGAGCTCCTTTAATCTTGTAACCACACTGGTTTTGACAATTGTTAAGCCACTTTCATATTTTGACCAGACAATTTGATTTTTGCAGAGCTGAAAGAATGATGATTGGCTTCATGCCAGGCTGACTGGTAGTGACACCAGACACGAAACCAGTGTTATGCAGTGTTTACCTGGGGGGAAATTGCTCATTTCCTTCTCCGAATACAAGTGGTATGAGGCCAAGATGCATTATGCATCTATTCATGGTGGGTGCGTTCCATTAAAATCGTAGTGTACTTTAAAGGGCCGTCTCCGGTGCATTCGCTCCGAGCAGTCAGCCATCTGCTCTGGGCCCTTAGCCCTGTTTTGTAAAACACTGAGGGGAAAAAAACTTGAGGGAGGAAATGAACATTTTCTTCTGCTTGACACAGTGACAGTGGGGAATAGTTTCTATAATTTATGATTTAGTGTGTATATCCCTTTTACTGTCCAGTCATGATTTGTTGAATAAAAGCAACTCATCCACGTGAGTGTTGGTGACCTGCCAGAAACTCTAACAGTGAGTAAAAGTGACAACCAATGGTACTTTCCAAACTCTTAAGTGAGAAATCTCCCTATTTGCTTTTGTGGGACTCCGCACTTACTCTGATGTGATGTTAGTGAGATGACTGTTTTAAGTTGTGGTGGAAGGAGTTGCAGTATTATTTTTGATAGGTCTGGAACTTTGTCATATACAGTAAAGAATTTGGAGTTTTGCTCTGGGAAAATACTTGTTAAATGTCTCCCTGGAGATTGAAGAATTTCTGTCCTGCTTGTGTTGTGGCCGTTAGCCTCATTTTGGTATTCATAAAAAAGAAAAAGGAAAAAAGCTGGAGCTCCCTGTTTGAAAATTAATAAAGAGACTCTGCCATTTGTAAATGATTTAACAGCAAGAAGAGTCATCTCTTCCACAGTTACCAAGCACTGCTGTGAGACTTCTTGAGTCATTTGGGCACCAGCCTGCAAGCTTCCTGATATCAGTACAGAAAGAACACACAGTATTACAGGAAACTGTTGTTGCACAATCTGTTAGCAGTCAGTTCTGTTGCCTGAGTTTAAGTGTCTGGGTGTCTTAAGTGTTAAAAAAAAAGCAGTCAACTCTATGATCAGTCAACTTTATGGTTTTGCTTATTGCTCAACACAACATCCTCACTCAACCCCTGGCTAGTAAATCAGACTTCTATCAGTACAGGAAAAAAGCTCATTTAATTACTTTCATATAGTGCTTAATCTTTAATAACAGTATGAATTATTAGCAGGTTTATTTTTCAAATTAATAGTTTGAATTAACAAAACAATTGGTGACTGAAGCTTTACATGTTAGACTCCTTTGTGCATGCGGTAGGTTTTGCTGTTATAAAGTTGTTGCTATAAACACTGGTTTCAAAAGAAAAGATAAGAAAAAAAATTAGTTATCATGTTTTTTTCTCAAGTGATTTGTGCTGTTGGGGACCCATGTGGCCAGCCAATCAAGTTGTTCGACATATTATTATTTTTATTTTTTAACAGCAGTTAGGATGACGATCTAGTACACAGTAAATTAATTCACAGGCCAGCCAACCCGTTTACCTAATAACATGTACTTACCTTGACTTTGTCGTAGGACTATGGTAAATGGAAAAGATATTTGTAAGAGTAGTCTGACTTTCGGTGCTTTGGTTCCTGTTTCAAGAAAGAGAATTAAGCTGTATAATCGGCTGTGACAAACTTCACAGCTGAGGCAGTACTGTCGAATGCCATTTATATAGGGTTGCAAAGTTTTTATTATATTTTGTTCATTGACCCTTTTTTGTTCAATTAGTAGTCCAAGATATTCAGTTTCTATTAAAATATGATAATGGAAAGCAGATCAGTACACTTGAGAAGCTGGGACCAGCTGAATTTTTGGGGGTTAGAGTTGAGGAGTAACTGGAAGTATTAATCGGATACAATCACTCAATAGTTGAAAGCATCACATGGTAGTTTCAGCATTTTTGAGTTTCGGTATTTAGTTCTTCCTCTTGTAAGTTGGGAAGAAATAGCTTTATACACTGTGAAAATAGCTGTTGGTGTTTTTTTTTTTTTTTTTTTTTTTTGAGGTTTACAAGTGTTTCAGTTGTCAGCAAGTACACATGACGCACCCGTGCTGGTGAGCAAAAGCAAACAAAGAAGCTAAGCAAATGTTATAGTTCCCCCTTTTGCCCACTAAAGGGACACAGCACTCCTTGAAGCAGAATGATGATCCAGACTGATGGGAGCCATAGAGGATGAATAACAATGCAGATTTATGTTTTGATGGTGATGCGACCATAAATGTGAAAGGAGCACCACAAAAATCGAATGAAACATTTTAAAGCAGAATTAGTTTCGATTTTGTGTAACAAGAGAACTGGACTGTCATGGCTAAAGTTAACATGTTTAATTGTCAGGGAAGACAGAAAAAGGATAGTTGCTTGATTCCTACCTGGGGCATCAGTGTAAATGATCCATGTTGTGACGGTGCAGAAAGCCATTATGGTTAAAATTATGCACCAAATCCTGTGTATAGGATAAAGCCTGTTGTGATTTTTTTTTTTTTTTTTTTTTTTTTTTGGGGGGGGGGGGCATTTGTCTGGCTGGATCTCAATAAAGATTAGAATGGCAGAAAAAACTGTGTCAGAAAATATTTAGATATTACAGTAATTTACATTTTACAATAAATTACAGAGAACAAGATGCTTGCAGAGTTCTTCCTCTTCTGGGAGATGCATTACTCAGATTTTCTCTTGAGATCACAGTAACTCATTTGGGGTTTTTTTGTTGTTGTTGTTGTTTGTTTGTTCTTTTGTTTTTCCAAACTTGAGTAAAAAGAGCTATAAAGAAACCTTAAATAAGGTCATTATCATCAATAAACTAAGAGTGAAAATAAATCACCCTTCATTTCATTTGAAAGTCCCAACAGTCCCAGATGTGTCCCTGAGCTTGGCTTTGAACAGCTGTCTTAGACCATGGGGAATACATAACTAACGGCCACAACTTGGTGGTTTTTCCATTTTTAACAGACAAATTCAGGAGTCCTGTCTGTATGTGGCTGTAGCAGAATGAATGTGGAGATGTGGAAAGAGAACTCATGTATAGTTGTGTGGCTTCACATTTATACCGTTGTCTCACATCAAACTGGTTAAGGCAGCTATACAGAAAGGAGTAGCTTTACCCTGGTAGGTCTGCTGTCTGGAAGTTGTAATGCAAGCTGCTGGTACTAAATGTGTCACATAGTTGGCTACTTGGAGTAAAATGATCCTATTCCTGTTGTGAGCAAAGGTGACATAATCTGCAGTAGACAAA